CTCCTCCTCCTCCTCGTCCTCCTCCTCCTCCTCCTTCTCCGCCCTCCTCCTCCTCCTCCTCCACCTCCTCCTCCTCCTCGGGTCGCCTACGGCCCCCGGGGAAGCCGTGTAAAGAAGCCAAGCAATGACCCCTTTAGTGCAAGCGCTGCTTTGGGAGAGAAAGCACGACGGCGCTTCCTGTGCGTCAACGACTGGTTTCCAGGGGCCGTTTGACGGCAGACCCGCACCCGCCAAGATTTCTGCGAGGGGCCGCGCCGTGGAGAAGCCGCGACGTCGAATATCAAGGTCTGAGTGGGGCATGTCCCTCTACAAGCAAAATACGCGAGACCGGTTACAAAATAGTCTGGTGACGATTTGTCATGATTTAATGATTATTTGATTATCTGTGTTTGAATATGTTCTTCGATTTAAATCCAGGCCTGTGGCCCACGAGAGTGCAAGCGTTTCGGGGCCCGCTGCCCGGAGAAGGTGGCGGGTTGGTAGGTTTAGACGTCTTAGATGGGGTCCGAGTAGATTGGGTCGGAGGATCGCGCCGCATCACCGATGCATTGGCGATGCGGCTCGATGTGGAGCACGATTTGCTTCACGTCGACGTCGCCGATGCATCGCGAACGTCGCCCATGCATCGACGATGCATCGGCGATGTATCGGCAATGCATGGGCGATGCGGCCAGATCCTCCGACCCAATCTACTCGGACCCCATCTAGGAGGCCTCTATAAACGGTGTGGGAGGGGGGACGGGGGACCTGCGCGGTTGGGGCGCTGGGAGCTTTCGAGGTGCAGGGCACGCCTCCACTCGCGCCCCCCCCCCGCTCTCCCCGCCCTGCGTTCCTCCTCCCCCCCCCGCCCCCCCCCCCACCCCCCTCCGCCACCATTTCCCCCCCGCCTAGCCATCACTTTTCCAAGGTTGCCTCCACCCTCCCTCTTCAAGGACGTCCCTCCCACTGTCTCTTCGCCTTTCTGTCTGTCTGTGTGATGGTGTGTGACTGGGTTGTGTGCTGGTGTGGTGTGTGCGCTGTGCGCGTTGCGGTGCGCGTGGCGCGTACGTGCGTGTCTGTGTCTGTGTCTGTGTCTGTGTCTGTGTCGGTGTCTGTGTCTGTGTCTGTGTCTGTGTCTGTGTCTGTGTCTGTGTCTGTGTCTGTGTCTGTGTCTGTGTCTGTGTCTGTGTCTGTGTCTGTGTCTGTGTCTGTCTCTCTCTCTCTCTCTCTGTTTCCCTGCGTGTGTGTTGTCCTGCCCTCCCTGCCTCTCCTAATTCCCCCCCCTCCCCAGGGGACCCTCGAGGGGGGAGCGGCCCGTGCCGATGCGGGAGCTAGCGCCGGCATGGAGAGCGCGCTTGTTGCCCGTGCCAGCTTTCTTCCCCGAGTCCTGGCGGTCGAACATGATAATCGCGCCAGAGGTCTTGCGATAGTCTGAAGTCGGGCCTGTCCCTCCACAGTTGGGCTTGTTTTGAGTATGTTTGGTGTATGTTTTTGTTCGTCCACAGCCCGCCTGTAGAGGGACACACCCGACCTAACGATAGTCTCTGAGTCTGGGGACGTTTCGGGGTCTTGGGATCGTCACAGCAACAACTCAGCATGAACATTCAGCATTGTGGAGGGGTCGAGTTTGGCGAGTCGGCGGCTCGAAAAATGAAGCCGTCAGTTGCCATGGTCCCGTCCCTTCTTTCTTCGATCAAGAGGCCGCATCTGTTTCTTGGTTTGCAACTATGGCCCAGCGCAAGTGAGCGGAGAGGTTGTGCAGCTCGCGGTTGGGGACACCTCGTTCGGCTACGATGTGACCCCCATGGAGAAGCGGTTTCTCCTTGCGTGGAGACGCGAGGTCGACGACGCCAAGCATGCAAGAAGATTCGTAGGGCTTACGCCAGACCCATCGCCCTCCTTGGTCCGAACGCATTGCCGCATGAACGCGCACGGCAGGTACATTCGTACGACTTGGATTATGTGATGCTGTGTACATGCAACAGCGACAGACTGCACAGGGCGCTCTGCACTGAAACCCTTACACAGTGCTAGCGGCGGCATGTGCGATAGCGATAGCGTACCATAGCGTACCCCACACGACGTAATGAAGTTGCACATCTGCATGGCCTGGCAAATTTGAGTACGGATAGGGTTGGCCACTCGTCATGGAAATGCATGTTAGTAGTTGCCAGCCAGTGTGATTCAATCAAGTCCGTCGCTAACACCTAATGTATGTTGGTCGGTGCCGCCAGTGTGTCAGGAGACATGCTGGCACACATCTTGGCACCTCGGCGTAAGACAACATTGCATGCGTGATGACATACCCGCACCTTGGCAATCCCACTCACGTAATTGAAGGACTTATCCCGTAACGTGTGTGAGTGTTCCCACAGCGCGCGCATGCACCTAACAGTAGGATTGTTTCAGCCACGCGCGTGTGGCGTATGAGCGTGCGTGGTGTGAGCAAGAGGCACATCTGCGTTCCGCTTCACACCGCTGGGGCCATCGTGACGCAGATTCTGGCCTCGGAGTGCCTATGGCATTCGGGCACTGCCCAGCTTGGCAGGACCGCTCCTGGCCGCACGCTCTGGCAGGTGCCACCTCCGCACGCACCTGGACGCCAGTGCACGGCAGCCTGGCCCTTCGGCCAGCTCAGGTCCCTCAAAGAGGCGATGACGGAGGCGGCCTTGAGGCTCCGACGAAGTGCCCCAACACAATTGCCTCTCGACGATGACCGCGACGACCACCCGTCTTGGTCCAAGCGGGGTTGCCAAAGCGTGCGTCGTCAGGATCGCGGCCACTTGCTGACGGGGCGACGCGCCCGGCGGCAGCTCCACCTCCGCTGCGCGGGCGCTCCTTTCGTTTGCCAGCATCGGCCTCCAGCGGGGGCTCGCCCGGCCCGGCGCCAAGGTGTGCCGAGGTGTGGAGGAGGCACGTCCCAGGGCCTGGTCCAAGAGCACAGCATCGCCGCTCGGTGACTCAGCGGCACCAGACTCGGCTCCGCACGCGTGGAGCTGGCGCCGCTCTGTCGGCTCGCGGCCGGCGTTGCCCCCTTTCGGCTGCTGGTTGGCCGCGGTGCAACGTCGGGCTTCCCCCCGCTGCACTCGGTTGTGGCGATTTGCATCGGCCAAGTTCGGCTTGGCCGACCCTGAGGTCGGCGTCACCCCAACATACGTCTACTATATCTGCGCCGCTCCCCCAGGGACGACGCGCGCACCGAGAAATCCCATAGTATGTGCGTCGCGGCGGGCGCCTTCTGGCCCCGCCGCTCGGGAAATGAGACACTACTGCAAGATGGGCGTACCATCTGTTCGGGTCGGACGCGCGCCTCCAAGGAGAACGTACAGTGCCAGTATGTCTCCGTCGTCCCCTGAGGCTCGCATCACCCCTCCCGCTAAGGACGCCGCCAAACTGGCCAGAAGGTGGCCGCGGGGAGGGCCCGAGAGGCCTGTGCCGCTCGCGCCGCACCCTGCCGCGGGCCATCCTCGAAGGGCTTCGGCCCGTGGCCGTCGAGGCCCCTCGGTGAGCAGCTTCGGGAGATGCTCCTCGGGAGCCTCCGCAGGCACCTCAGACCCCCGACGATCCAGTCTCGTTGAACCGACCCCCCATCCCCATCCTCATCCCCTTCGAGGCCCCCACCAAAGTACCACTCCAGTTGCGGATACACCCCTCGAAACCCGAAGGGAACGGCCTATACCCCCATCGGGGCCTAGGAGGGGTAAATCGGCCAGTGGGCCCAGGCCGCGCCGCTGGGGATGGGGGTTCGGATAAACGATGCTCAACACTGCGCTCCCTCCACAGCGTGGAACCTCTTGGGCCTGGGCCGATTTCCCCAGGACTGACGCTTCGCCCCGAGTCGGTTTTGGGGTCCGTCCCGGGCCCAGGGTTGTTCTGCAACGGGCCCCACAGTTGCACGGGGGGGGGGCTCGCAGGCGACTTCTCGCCTTTCCCAGTCCTGGAGCTCCGTTCCGAGCCGGCTTGATATCGACTCTGGCACGGTCCGATTCGATTCCAGCGCCCCGCCGACAATCCAGCGCAGCCCGATGCTTGCACGAGCGTTGCTGTGCATCCTGACGCGGCGGGTCCGAGGCGACTGCGACGCACATTCCGATGCAGCCCGATCCTACGCACATTCCGATTCGATCCGATGTCGCAGTCCGAGCTTGACGGATCTTGAAAATCCCCGACCCTCAACAAAATTAGCCTGACGAAGGAACCAACCATATGCACCTGTGTGTACCGCAGTCGTGACTATCATGCTTGATGCAGCTCACTACGGGGCCACGCTCCTTGTGAGGGGTGCGCCGAACTCGGGCGGGGCCGCCGTGCGAACTTTCCCTCTGGGGCCTTCGGTGGAGCTCCCCATGGGGCCACGATCCTCGTGAGGGGTGCGCCGACCTGGGGCGGGGCCGCCATGCGAGCTCTGCGGCCTTCGGTGGAGCTCCCTATGGGGCCAGGGTCCTCGACAAGGGTGTGCCGAACTCGGGCGGGGCCGCCATGTGAACTTTCCCACTGGGGCCTTCGGTGGAGCTCCCTATGGGGCCACGATCCTCGACAAGGGTGTGCCGAACTCGGGCGGGGCCGCCATGCGAACTTTCCCACTGGGGCCTCCGGTGGAGCTCCCTATGGGGCCAGGGTCCTCGACAAGGGTGTGCCGAACTCGGGCGGGGCCGCCATGCGAACTTTCCCACTGGGGCCTCCGGTGGAGCTCCCTATGGGGCCACGATCCTCGTTAGGGGTGCGCCGAACTGGGGCGGGGCCGCCATGCGAACTTTCCCTCTGGAGCTTTCGGCTGAGCTTCCTATGGGGCAACGAAGCGTGTGAGGGGTGTGCCGAAATGAGGCGCGGCCGCCATGCGAACTTTCCCATTGGGGCCTTAGATGGAGCTCCCAGGGTCCACGAAGCGTGTGAGGGCTGTGCCGCAATGGGGCCGGGCCTTCATGCGAACTTTCCCTTTGGGGCCTTCGGTGGAGCTTCCCATGGGGCCACGAAACGTGTGAGGGCTGCGCCGAAATGAGGCGGGGCCGCCATGCGAACTTTCCCCACTGGGGCCTTCCGTGGAGCTCCCTATGGGGCCACGAAGCGTGTGTTGGGTGTGCCGAAATGGGTGCGGTTTGGGGGACGAGGGAGGAGGAGGAGGAGGAGGAGGAGGAGGAGGAGGAGGAGGAGGAGGAGGAGGAGGAGGAGAGGTGGGACGCGGGGCGCTGTCTCTTCAAAACGAAGACCCAACACCACAGGATGGTTGGGAAGAATCAAGTCTGCCGTCTGGAAGATGGGGGGGCAACGATCGGGGATGCACCCGATCGTTGCCACCCCTCTCTTCCAGGCGCGTTAGGCCCAGCCCCGTCTCGAGGACGTGCCCGCCCCCCCCCCCTCCCCCCCATAGTGCATCATGGAAGTGTTCGTGACGGGGTGTTCGTGGCAGGAGGGCGGCATCACGAGCCCGGGGGGGGCATGTTCATGTATTCGAGTGCCCAGGCGCGGACGTGCACCCCCTTGGTTGACCAGTGTGCAGATCCTTAGAGGTGCAAGTCCGCCTCTGCGCCGGTAACTATATCCGCGTTCGGAGGCCAGCCAGATGCCGACAGCGCCCTCTTCAATTCCGCTCCATCCTGACTGCAGTGCGAGCCCATGGCAAGGACCTCCTTCGTTCTGCCAAGGTACCCTGGGTTTCTTTGGCTTGTGTTCGTATTGAAGGCTTGCAGCGTTCGCGAAGAAACCGCAGTTGGTATGGTACCCTGATTAATTTGACGCTGGGAGGCTTTGCGCGAGCCATGAGCGCAAACCGCCTGGTCCAGGGTTCTCTGAATTTCTTCGCCGGCAGCCGCTGAGCACCCTGGCCCAAGAAACGCCGCGATGTTCAGGGCTGTGTTCCTCGCGATGCGTTGCTTGAGGACTGGACTTGACTGCACTCGGCCCGTCGGTAGTCCCGCCGAGTCTGGAGCCGGGGCCGAGGCACTTCCCGATTCGGAGAAGAGGCCTCCTGGAGGCGACGGCGGCGGCCCTCCTGCCAGGCCCAGGCCCGCTCGGAATCGGATCCCAGGCCACACCCCGGGGTCCAGCATGGCCCGTCCTTCGAGGCGGATGCCGCCGTGGGGACGAGAAGCCTCCAGGAGGGGGAGGGGGAGGGGGAGGAGGAGGAGGAGGAGGAGGAGGAGGAGGAGGAGGGGGAGGAGGAGGAGGAGGAGGAGGAGGAGGAGGAGGAGGGGAGGAGGAGGAGAGGAGGAGGAAGGCGGCGGAGGAGGAGGAGGAGGAGGAGGACCTCCCCAAACAACCAGCTCGGGACATGCCAGCGGTGACCGCCGCTGTCCAGGCCGGCCCCCCCCCCGAGTTGTCGGGGGGCGAGCCGGCGAGCCGAGCCATGCGCGCACGGCGGCCTTCTCCCCCCCAACCCAAGGGGGCGGGGGCTTCGTTGGGGAGGGGAGCGCTCGCGCTCAGGGGGGGACGCATCGACTCCCAATCGCCTGCTCGTCGCCGATGTGTGCCCGATCGCCCACCCCGCCCAGGAACGGACGGACTCGCCCTCGGGGGCCCGCCTCCCAGTGATCGGCGCGGCGAGGCGTCGCCGATTCCATCTCGACGTTTCCCGCGCTGAGCTAGCAACCCCCCCCGTGGTGTCGCCTCCCGAAGGGGTGAGGGGGCCCGGCGGATTTTGCCGCGACGACGTGCGGAATAACCAGACGAGGCGGGTGCTCGGAGACCAGAGCGTGCCGCCGAACGGTTGGCCGCGGCCGCCGCCGTTTGTGGTAGGAGGATGAAGGAGGAAGGAGGAGAAGGAGGAATGAGGAAGGTCAAAGGAACAAAACTTACTAATACCGTTGCCCGAGCCTCGTTTTCGCCTTTTTGGGCCTCGTGTGATGTCCTCGCCGACACGGCTGGATTCGCCTTGAAATGATGGCCAGAACGCACCCTTGGAAAAGTCCGGGGAGTAGCGGAATCGGTACCTCTCGGTTTCCCCAGGAAGGGGCAGGAGGAGGAGGAGGAGGAGGTGGGGAGGCGTCTTGCAGCTGCCATGGTATCCTTCTTTCCACACAAGTGGAGTCGGAGGACGAGGAGGTAGGAAGAAGGAGGAACTCAAGGGCAACGTTAGGCGAGCCAGGCTCAGGGGGGCGCATCGACCCTCAGTCGCCCATTGATCGGCGGCGGGGGCCCGATAACTTTGCCGGCCCGGGAACGTTCAGATCTATGGGTCATGTCTCGCCAATTCCAGCGTGGTGTTTCCCCAGGGAAGGCGGGGAAGGTTCGTTCATCTGGCGTATGTTTTGTAGGTTCGTTTGGGGTGTGTGTATGGGGGGGGGTCGAGCGCGCCGTAGGGCACGCCATGATGCCAAAGCGGCAACGGCCATGTGTGCTAGCTTGAACAGTTGATGGTGAACGACAGAGAACATGATCAGGCGATGGAGCCAGACGGGAGGAGGATTAGTCGGAAGGAGGAGGAGAAAGGGAGGATGAATGGGAGGAGGAGGAGGAAGAGGAGGAGGTGGAGGAGGAGGAGGAAAGGGAGGACGAGGAGACGGAGGAGGAGGGGGAGGCGGAGACGGAGGAGGAGGAGGAGGAGGAGGAGGAGGAGGAGGAGGACGACGACGACGACGACGAACAGAGTGGCGGCCGAGGCGATGGAGGAGGAGGAGGAGAGGAGGAGGAGGAGGAGGAGGAGGAGGAAGGAGGAGGGGAGGGACGAGGAAAAGGGGGAAAAGGGGACGTGGGGAAGGGGGGAAAAGGGGAGGGCGGGCGCGGGGAGGAGGGGGAGAGGAGGAAAGGGGGGGAGTGCGATGACGATGACAAATTAAGGCAAGGGAAGCGGGGAGGGGGGGGGGGGCAGAGGGTGCGCGGATGGGGCCGGGGAAGGAACGCGGGAGGCGGGGGGGGGGGGCAGGGGAGAGCACCGCGCGGTGGAACAGGCGATTTGCCGAGTGCGGGGCACTGTTCCGGATGTCGGAATGGGGGCCGTCCAACGCGCCAGCGCGGAATGCACCTTCAGCGCGCTCTTGCTGCGGGCGGGAAGAACGCACCTACCGCGCCGCGAACTGAGCGCCAGGCGAGCGCGCCTTCCCCCGCGCCGCCGCGTGCGCCGGTCGAAGAGACCAAGTGCACGGCCCAAGGGCCGCGCCTCGCGCTGCTCTGCAGGGGCCGCCTACGCGGGTGATGGGTGCGCTGGACCGGGCGAGCGCACCCATCACCCCAATGACGGGCGGGGCGGGCTCCTCCTCCTCCTCCTCCTCCTCCTCCTCCTCCTCCTCCTCCTCCTCCTCCTCCTCCTCCTCCTCCTCCTCCTCCTCCAACCCCCCCGCCTCCGCATCCTCCGCATCCTCCGCGCCGAGCGACCTGCACTGCGCTCGTTCGGGGCCCGCGGGGCGGCGCTCCACGGGCCCGCCCCCCCCCGCGGGCGCTCGGGGGGGGGCCGCGCCTCGTGTGATGGCCGGGGAGGTGGGCGGGGAGTGGTGGGCGGGGAGCAGCGGCGGAGGTCGGAGTGGCGCCGGGGGGGAGGCGCCGAGGATGGTGGGAGAGCGGAACGGCGGGGGTCAGAGGTGGGGGGGAGGGTGATGGGCCCACTTTCCATCACCACTGCCATGTGGAGGAGGAGGAGGAGGAGGAGGAGGAGGAGGAGGAGGAGGAGCAGGAGGAGGAGGAGGAGGAGGAGGAGGAGGAGGAGGAGGAGGAGGACCTCCTCATCCTCACGTCTCCCCCGTCCGACACGTGGCAGAAGTGGTGGTGGAAAATTTGCCCATCGGAGTGGGATGGAGGGAGTGGGCGCAGGGGGCAGGAGGGATAGTGCACGAACGACATCGGGTGGGCAGAAATAAGGGTGGGACGGGGGGGGGACTGCTGCCCGAATCTCGAAGGTACGGGTGCGAATGTATTACCAAATGCTTGCGCGCCGCCGGGCAGCTTTGCCCTGGGAGTTTCGTTGCCGTTTTTCCGCGCATCGTTGCGCTGCTGCGCCTGCTCGTTCCCCCGCCCTTTTCGCCAGCCCGTTGCGACGCGAGCGTAGCCTGCGAGTCGGCTCGGATGGTGGCCTTCGCGAGAGTGGCAGAATGGCCTTCCAAAGTATAAGAAACGACCCCCAAGAGCAGCGTTCCACCCACCCGCCGATTGAACTTGTTTAATCACCGTCCGGACGCACCTTTCACGCCCGTCAAATTCCCCCCCCCTCAATGCTCCCCGTCAGAAAGGAGGCGTCCTGCCGCTGTCACGCCGGTTCGTCTTTTTGCATACTGCCCCGCGCGTTCCCGCGCGTCTAATTTCCCGCGGCGCTGCTGCACACGCGGCTGCCGAAAAGCAAAAAGAGAAGAAGGAACATGACAAGGAAAAGGACAAAGACGAGAAGGAACATGAGAAGGAGAAATAATAGGAACAGGAGGGGGGAAGAGGAGGCGGAGCAGGAGGAGGGGGACGAGGAGGAACAGGTTTCTGTTGCGTCTGCTCCAGTTGTGTCTGCGTCTTTTGGTTCTGCCAATGTGGAGGCTGGCTGGGAACACGAGGAGAGGAGAGAAGGAGGAGGAATGGGCAGAAGGAGGTCGTCCTTCCTCCTCCTCGCCTTCGTCCGTTCTAACCCCCCCCGTCCCCCCTGGCGCGCGAAGCCGCCCTGGGCGGTCCAGCTCCGACCCAAGAAGTCCGCGCGGAACGCCCGAAGTGCATGATCTGCTTCGTTGCGGCTGTCGGACCAAAGCCGTAAAGCCACCACCTGATGCCCTTCTGCATCCCCCTTGTTGCTGACGCTGGCCTGAGCGGTAGAGCCAGAAAGCTGCAGCGCCCGCGCGCGCTCCTCCCCCTCCTTCCTGTTGCGTGTGCCCAGGATCCGATGATACGATGTCTTGTCATTGCGGGGTCTCCTGAAGTCCCGGACCTTTCCCTATAAAGCAGGCGCTTTATCCCGAGTCGTCTTCTCCTTCCGGGTCCCGGCCGGAGCGTCTGGATCCGAATCTATTTGAAAGCCTCCCGTATCGATTTTGTCAACACGTCAGATGTTCGCCCCCCCCATTACGTTTCAATTCCTGGGAGGTGAGATTCAGCACCGGGAGTGCTACGTCCGAGGTCGAAGGCGGGCCTCATCAGGATCAGTGGCCCCTCGACAGGCCTTCAGCAGGTTGTCCTTTCTCGTTGTCCTTGCGAAGTCCTCCCAGGAGTTGCCGCCCAGCCCCCCTCGGTGCCACCAGGTTGGAGATCCGCAGACGACGTGGACGACGACTGCGGACCGGACGAGTACGGGCAGCCCTCGCGCGAGGTCGGGGGCCGCCGACCGCAACCCGCTGGCCCCGCGCGAGCCGCCGACCGCATGTACAGTCAGCCCGCAGAGTAAGGATGGGCAAGCTTCCCAAGGGGTACCCCTTGCAACCTTGCCTCCTCGGCCCAGCCTTGGCCACTTTCGCTGGCCGCGCCCCGCTCGAGAGGCCTCGGAATGGCCCTCCGAGGACCTTGCATTCTTATCGCGTGTCCTTATGATAATTAAGGGTCGGCTGTGTCCCCTCGCGGCGCCCCCCCCTCCCCTCCTCTCTATCTCCACACCCGGGCAGAGGTGCCGAAGAGGACGTCTGGACGAACCAACCCTATTGAACCATCCATGCTATAGACCTCCCAGATGGGGTCGGAGTAGATGGGGTCGGAGAATCGTTCCGCATCGCCGATGCATCGGCGATGCGGCTCGATGTGGAGCCCACTTTTCTCCACGCCGACGTCGCCGACGCATCGCATTGCATCGCCGATGCGTCGTCGATGCACCGGTGATGACGCGCCTCCCCCCCCGCACCAAAAGACGGCCCAGAGACGTCCTCCTCCTCCCCGTCCTCTTCCCCGTCCTCCTCCTCCTCCTCCTCCTCCTCTTCCTCCTCCTCCTCCTCCTCCTCCTCGCGCGCTCGCTCTCCTCCTTCTCCTCCTTCTCCTCCTCCTCCTCCTCCTCCTCGTCGGCGGCCGGGGGGGGGGCGAGGGCGGGCGGCGCGCGGTCGGCCATGGTGCGGGGAAGGTCAGCGAGCAGGAGGCGGAGGCCGCGGGCGCCGCAGTGATGCTGCAGGTGGTGCGCCTCTTCGACGACCCGAGCCTCGAGCGGTCGCTCAGGTTTCTGGGCTTACGTCGGGCTTGCCCCTCTGCAGGGGGGATGCTCAAACACAGTACCAAGCACATAGTATGGGGACGAGGTCTCCACAATGTCTGATCATTTTGGGGGGGTGTTCGGATTCCGTTTTGACTTATCGTCCAAAATCCCCTTGTAGGGGGACAGGCCCGACCTAATTCTAGGCCTCCCAGACGGGGTCGGGGCAGACGGGGCCGGAGGAGCGCTCCGCATCGCCGCTGCAGCGGCGTTGCGGCTCGATGTGGAGCCCGCTTTTCTCCACGCCGCCGTCGTCGACGGCCGATGCATCGGCTATGCGGCGCGATCCTCCGACCGCATCTGCTCGGACCCCATCGAGGAGGCCTCTGCAGGTTTTCCTGAGCCCCTGGCTTCTCGGGGCGCGTGGCCACAGGCTCGGGGGAGGGAAGGCACCGATGCCGCTCTGCGTCCCTGCTTACTTTCCGGGGCAGGGCGGGGGACGGCTTCAGGTCTACGATCAAGTCCGCCGTGAGCAGCAGCAGCAGCAGCAGCAGCAGCAGCAGCAGCAGCAGCAGCACCGATGCCGCCAGAGGGTCTGCCCTTCCCTCGCTCTGTGCGCCTGTCTTGGGGCCTCCGGGGAGGCCCTCGTCGCCGCAGCTGGATTTGCCACGGGATGATGGTCAGAGCGCGCCCTGGGAGAGGTCTTGGGAGTAGAGGTAGACATCGGTATCGTTTGTGCTCCCCACAGGTTGGAGGTCGGGAAAGGCCACGCGATCAGGGCCCTGGAAACCAGCACATTGTAGACCGGGGTTTCGCAAGATCCGGCCGGAGCAGACGAACACCAGAGAAAGTTTCGACACGCGGCTGCAGTCCTCTTGGGTGTGCGAAGGATTTGGTTTCTCAGAGTTTCCATGCACGGAGCCCTGGCGCGTGCGTGGTTTTCGGTAACTTCTCGCGGACGGCAGACTTCCGCTGGCGCTGCCCCCCCCTTTCGGCGAGGGGGGTGGAGCATCGCAAGAGGCCGAGAGAGTACGGTAGGTGCGTGCGGCGATGGCGCGCCGGCGACGCCAGCGAAGGCGTTCAAGGTTTAGTTCTGCGACGCGGAAGCACCGAGGGACGCGGCAACGCCATTGGACCCGGCTGAATTCAACCTTGAACGATCGGGGCCGCGATCGATCCGATGATGAACGATCGACGCGGTGTCAAAAACCCGAGCGCGCGCCGACGCCGCGCGAACCTACCGTACCGCCAGCACCCAGATCCGGGACCGTCTTCCCCTGGTGGCTTGGCATCGCTCGGACGTGTGCATTTTTCCTTCGGCGAGGGCCATCGAGGAGCATCTTTGATCATTTGGCGAAAAGACCACGCACGAAACCGAACAAAAACACAGGGAATGGGCGTCCGAGCGATGGCCAGTGGTGGAGGCAGCCCGCGGTGCTGGCGTCGGTGCCGCCAGGTCGGTGCCTTCTTCCCCCCTCGCGCGACGGCGCCAGAGAGCTGCCGCCTGCGGGCCTCCGAGACCTGGCGCTGGACGTTCAGGAGGGAAAGAAACACACAGACACAACAGAGGAGGAGGCGACGGCAGCTCCAGCACCATGCACAGCGACATGGGCAGGCCAGAAAAAGGCGGCGACGATTAATCGTCGACTCCCAGGAAAATATGGGGCAAGATGGGAAGTGGGGGGGAAGACAAAAGGACAAACGCCAAGCAAATTTGGGGAAATCTGGGGAATCCTCTTCTTTGCGTCTATTTATTATTTGTGTGTCCCTGGGCTCCTATAGAGACGTGCCTTCCGCCCTCCTGCCCCGGGCGGCGCAGCCACGCGGGGGCGGCGCCGCCGTAACGCGGCGGGGCACGGAGGCAGTGCCGCCGCGTGCAGCTCGAACCGCAGGGCGCAGTCAGTCACCACCCACCAAACCACCCCAACCCAACCCGAAGGCTCAGATTTACCCTCGATTTCCAGTGGGGGGGGTGGGGGGGGTTAGGAAACGTCAAAAAAACATGTGGAACCCTTACCCCCCCACTCCAACTCGACATGCGGATCTTCGGGTTGGGTTGGGGTGGTCTGGTAGGTAGTCAGTCAGCTGGACTGCGATTTGGGAAGCGCTGGGCTCGCAGGCGAGCGCGCACGGAGTGGGGTCGGCTGCACGCAGTTTTTGGAGTCGGGCGTGTCCCCCTCTACAGGGGGGTTTTCGACGACAAATACCACATACTCAAAGCAAGCTCCCAAATGGTGAACAAATGCTCAAAAAGTGGTCCCCGGATTATTTTTTGACTATGTTTGAACATTCCTCCTGTAGAGGGACGGGTCCGACTTAAACGCAGTTACGAGTGACCCTTCGCCGGAGTGGCCTTTGGTGCGGGCTCATCGGGGCCCCCCCGATCGCTGAGCGCGGTGCGATTGCAGGCGGTGATCAATGGAGAGGAATAGCGTTGCCAAATAATTCCCAGATGTTTCAAACCTATGTTACACATGTCTTGAGAACGTGGTTCAACCAGTGTTCGACATTTCGAATGCTTGTTTAATTCAATGCGAGGGTTTTGTGGGTGTCCATTGTCATAGCATCCACAACGAGGTCGGCTGCTTGCGCGCTTGGATCGGACCATTTTGCGCCCCCTTGCTCCGCGCACCAGAGGTCACGCTTGCCCAGGGTCACTCTGGCGTGTAGCCGATCGGGGGGGGGGGGTAAGGCAAGCCCAGACATCCAACGCGTCGTTCTGCAGGTTTCGTTGTCTTTCTGCTGCTCTACCTCCGGGGGCCCTTGCTGGGCCCCAGGACCTTCAAAACAAGCTTCGCCCGAGGAAGAGCCTGGCCCCGGGCAAGGGGCCAGACTTCCACGGACCACGCACGCAGGACGGCGAGGCGTCGGACGTCTGGAGGGTCATCCCTGGTTCCGATGCTGCTGCTCGTCCTGGACAGTCCTCGCCACCACGGCTGGATTATCTTCAAGACTCTGCCGGCGGCGACGATTTTTTGGTGGATCCGAAAGGAAATACTCAATTTCGGGGCAAATCAATTCTGTAGTTGCTCCTTGCTCGAACGTTTGGGGAACCTGGCAGGCTTGGACACGGATATGTTCGAGCCCTGGTGGGCCAAGTACATCCATGTCCACGGCCTGCTGTCGGCGGCAAGCGAGGGGGGAAGTGAGAAGGCTAAGGCCTTCTCAGAAGGTGGTGGCACCTCTCAGAAGCCATCGCGCCTTCTGAGAAGTTTTCTCTGTCTTCGGGGAGGGCTTAGAACACTGTTCGGCAGGCTGGGGGACTTCCGAGCCTTCTGAGAATGGCCCCCCCGCGCTCGCCGCCGATTCTGGATCAGAGCGCGCCCAGGGAGAGATCCAGGGAGCAGCGGCATATCGGTGCTTTAGTCTCGCCCCCAGCAGCACCCCGCGCCCGCGGTGAAGGTGGCCCGTTTGCGCGAGTGGCCCCGCCGCGGCGGCGGGCGACTGCACAAGCCGAGCCTGCTTCGTTCAAGCCAGACCGCAGCCTGCGCGTGCGGGCGCGAGTCGCTTTGAATCGGGGGCCCAAAAACATACACCACCGCCACCACCACCACCTCCATCCCCCCCTCCCTCTCGCTGGAAAGAGGAGAGAGTAGGAATCGACGTGGTGGTGGTGTAAATTCTTTGGGCCCCCATTGAAGGGGCCTGGGCTGGGCGGCTCAGACACCCTGCCTCCGCTGACCGACTCGGCCTGTCGTTCGCACTCTCCGGGATCAGCCACAGCGGGCTCGAAGATGACTACGCGTCGTGGCCATGCGCGCAAAGGCAAGCAGAACTACGAGTGTGTGTGTGTGTGTACATGCGCTCGTTTCGTGTGTGTGTGTGTGTGTCCTGGCCTAGGCGCGGCCTCCCTTCCAACACTGACATGTTGTGTTTGGAGGGGTACGTCTGGACTGTCTGGCTGGTTCGGGCATTTAGTTTTTCTCTCACGTTTCAAAGTTTCTGGGGCCTGGGACGGAAGCGTCGTAAGTTTTAGACGTTTCGGACATTTCGGGCGTGGCGAGCGTTTCGTACGTTATGGACGTGGCCAGGATCTCGGGCAATGTGGACGTGTTGGATTTTCTGGGTTGATTGGATGTCTCGATTGTTTCGTATGTGCAGGAGGCTTCGAGTTGTCCAGGCGGTCTGTAGCTAGGCTATGAGTTCTGCGAGTGGCATGATACACAGTCGCTGGACATCAGTCAATAGATGTCAGATAGTGTTATCCCCAGCTCAGCAAAGGTCGGTCAGCGGGCCATCGGACATGGCTTTAGGCTACGTTGGTCTTTTTCCGGTGCTTGAGCACAGGCAATTCTACAATGACAGTGCGGTGCCACTAGTTCATCTGCGCCATGGTCGTCAAAGCACGGAAGCTACGAAGCGCAGATGCAAGCATGTGTGAACCGATGTCTGCGCGGTGAATTCGCATCCACGTGCTCGAGATCTGGCACCGCCCCACCTGGCAGCAGCCCCACCAGGACTCCCTTCTCTTCCCTCGGCCGAGGCAAAAGCTCTTATCCGAAGGGGCCCTCCCCTGAATCGAGACGCGGTCGTTCTGCCCTCCTCCCCGTGCCCAGACCCCCGAGGTCGCGATTTTTTTAAAGCGTCGACCTCCAGAGGTCTGGACCCCTTCCCCGGGACCGGTTTTTCATCCTGGGTCGTTTTTTGACGGTCCCGAGGCCCGGTAAGGGCTCCAAGAGGCCGAAAATTGGGAAACACATCCCGCCGCGATGTTTGTCGCAACGCGAGGGGGTCTGGGTATCCTCCTCTGAGAGCGCGGAGGAGCGAGGGCGGAGAGGGAGCGACAGGAGGCGGAGGTTTACCAGTTTGAAACATATCCCTATCCCTATGTTTGACATCACCTCACCTCGATGCCGATCTTAAGGATTCCCTCAGCTTCTGAGGGCCTATCCCTAAGATTGTCCTCGCTCTTTGCCCGCCCATCTTAGGGATAGGGATAACTTCGAGGCTGGTTAGCGGTAGGAGGCTGACGAGGGACGGGTCGGGCGGAGCGGCTTCTGTTGCCCAGGGCGGCCTGGAAGGGCCCCTCGGCCCCTCGGCCCCTCGGCACGGGGCCCCTGGAAGTCCTGACCTCCTCCTCCTCCTCCTCCCTTCCTCCCCTCCTCCTCCTCCTCCTCCTCCTCCTCCTCCTCCCTCCCTCCTCTCCTCCTCCCTCCTTCCCCTCCCTCCTCCTCCTCCTTCCTCCTCCTCCCCCTCCTCCTCCTCCTCCTCCTCCTCTCTCCTCCTCCTTCCTCCTTCTCCTCCTCCTCCTCCTCCTCCCCCCGAGGCCCAGCGAGGGCGCCCCCCGACCTCAAAGCCGCCCGTCCGGATGTTTTGGCGACGCGATCCTGTTTGGGCTTCGCTCTCCTCCTCGTCCGTCTCCTGCCCTTCCCCGTGCCCGTGGTCCCCCCCTTCTGCTTCCGCTTCGCTGGGCCGCGCCCTCCGGCGCTGAGCCACCCCGGCGGGGACACCTCGCGGCTGCTTCAGGGCAGCCCCGGGGCGTTCTTCGGCCAGTCGGGCGCGGCCAAGAGGGGGGCGGTGCCTGGGGGGGGGGATCTCACGGCGGGGGCCACGATAGCTCCCCAGAGTTCATGGCGCCCCCTCTTATGTCAATGCGTCCCCGCCCCCCCCCTCCCCCCTGGGCCACGCACATGCCTCGGGCCATGGTTTGCACCCCCCCCCTCTTGGACGCCCCCCTCTTAGACGCCCCCGACGGGGGCTCTCGAGTGACATCTTGTGGCCTCTTGGGCCACCTTCGGGCCAGCCAGGGCAATCCTGGGGCCCCTGGGGCCCCTGTTGAGGGCCTCGCGGGGCCATCTTGGGTCCTTGTGGGGCTTTGCTGAGCACATTGGACGGCAGTCTTCGCGCCTCTTGGCTGGGTCATCTCGGGGGCACTTCTTGGGGTGTGCGAACATCTTGGGAGCAAAACGTGGCCTAGAAACAGTAAAGCACACGTGAGTGCTCGAGGTGTTTTGTTCCCTGGGGGGCGTCTTGGGACCTCCCTGGTCCATCTGAGAGGCATACTTGGAGCACCTTCCGCCGTCTAGAGCTCCTGATCGGGCGTTGCTAGAAGTGCCCCTGGCCCAAGGTGCCACCAGGATTTCCAAGGAGACCCCCACGGCCTCGAGAGCACCCCCTCACGAGGCCCAGAGGGCCCCGGGTGCCCCACAATGGCGCGAAACGCTGGGAACACCGTGGGCCAGGGGCACTTCTAGCAACACCCTATTTCAGGCCCTGTCTGGGGCCTCCCGTCCGGTCGCCCTTGCGGCTTGACAGGGCCCTCCTGGCCGTCCCGCGGCGTCTCCGCGGGCATCTTCGGGGCCGGCCCCGAGCGGCCCGCAGGCCGCGAGACATCCGGCGGATGCTCGGCGGAAGGGGGCGGAAGTAAGGCGTGTGCCCCCAAGAGGTGGGGACGTTCTTGGGTTCAGGTTATCCGGAATCCGCCACATGGTGGTACAGCGGAGACCCATGCCAAGAAACACCTTGCTTGCCCCTAGGGTGCCCTGGGCTTCTCGGGTTGCGATGGTTTTGCGGTGGAACGCGCGACGCTCCCACACCAAAAATCGATGGACGCCCTAGGGCCTCAGGGTTGGGTTTCTTGTGGAAGGTCTCTTGTGGACTGGCCTCCACTGTGCGTCTTTTCAGCCTGCGGCCCTCGTGAGGCCAGGCCCGGTGGCGCTGCGCCTCTTGAGCCCAGCCGTGTGCGTTCCCAGCTCCCTGGAGCGGAAGGCAGCAGGGAGGAGGCAGGAGCCCAAGGCACGGAGCAGGGGGGCACCACAGGAAAACAGTTGCATCGAAGAAGAAAAACAAAAACACATGAGCATAAACTTTTGGCGCTCCGCGCGGATTTCTTGGATCCGCTCCTGGGCCCCCCGGCGGCGCCTCCGGCGCCGCTCCGCGCGCCAGGGAGGGGGGTCCAGCGCGAATCCAAGAAATCCGCGCGGAGAAGCACGAGTTTATGTTTATGTGCTTGTTTTTCTTTGATACTGTAGCAAGACTGCTCATATCTGGGCCTCCTACGTGAGGTCGGAGTAGATGGGGTCGGAGGATCGCGCGGCATCGTCCGATGCATCGGCCTTGCTTCAGCGATGCGGCTCGATGTGGGGCACCATTTTCTCCACGCCGATGTCGCCGATGCACCGCCGACGTAGCCGCTGCATCACCGATGCATTGGCAAGGCATCATCGACGTATCGGCGATGCGGCGAGATCCTCCGACCCCAGATACTCGGACCCCATCTATCACCATCCACCAAACCAATTTAACCCAACCTGAAGGCCCCAATTTGCCCCCCCTTCCCAGTTGGGGAGGCGTCGGAGAACATTGGCAAATCGAATGTGAAGCCCATACCCCCCCCCCAGCCCCAGAATTTGGGCCTTTGGGTTTGGGGTTGGGGTGGTCTGGCAGGTGGTCAATCTAGGAGGCCTCGATCATAGGCTTGCACCCACAATCGGAAGCCTGGCAAGGGCTGCTAAATCCACGGCTGCTAAAATCGACCTCCAGGAAGTTGTCTTCGCCCTTCCGGGAAGAAGCCCGTTGACCGTTTTGCGTGCGGCGCCTCCTTCCGGGAAGCTGCTTTTTCCTTCCGGGAGGGCCGTTTTAGCAGCCACGGTTTTAGCAGCCTTCGCCCAGCTTCCGACACTTCTTGTGGACCCGCGGGTCGAGAGCGCACCTCTTCCGGTCGAAGCTGAGCGGGCCGCGCACAGCTTTAATTCACAAAGGGGGGGGGCAGAAGGCCCAGCTTCCGACACAAGGTTCGGATGCAACTCCTGGGAGGTTAAATTCTGACTTTGCCCTGGTCCGAAAACCGGCTTAATCCGGCTTAATCCCGCTTAATCCGGCTTAATCCCGCTCAATCCCGCTTAATCCGGCTTAATCCTGCTTAGTCTGAGGCCCATTCCGGCGTAACAGTCCCCAAATGGGACTTAATCCTCTTTAATTTCTCCGACGAAAACCTCCGAGTAGTTGCCTCCTAAACAAGGGGGGGGGAGAAGCGGATTCCTGACCCCTCCGCCATCTCTCGGCCCTCCTCTGCGGCAGCGCGCGGCGGCGCGGCTCTTTCCCGGCCCTCGCCGGCGGCGGCGCGCGGGCTTGCCCCCGCGCGCGCCTCTCGGCGCGCCTCTCGGCGTCCTGGCGGGTCTGGCCGGCCGCGGGGCCGATCGCGCGGTGGGCCTGTGTGCTCGGACCGCCCCCGGCGCGTCACCTCGGCGGCAAGTCACGGGAGCCTCGAGACGGGGGTCAATGCAAACGGGGGTCACCCAGAGCGCCCGATCTTGCAGGATCCTGCAGGACCAGGGTCGCATTGACCCGGGTTTGGGTGCAGGATCTTGCAGGATCCTGCAGGATCCTTCGCATTGACCCGGGTTTGGGTGCAGGATTTTGCAGGAGCTTGCAGGATCCTGCAGGCTTGATTGACCCGGGTCTGGATTGACCCGGGTCAGAAGATCCCCGACAAGTCACGGGAGCCCGGTGTACCCTCTCACGCAGCACCTCGCAGTCGCGGAAAAAGAGTGAGAGGGGGCAAAAGCGCGGGCGGCGCGGGCATGGAGTCGGCGGCCCTCGTGGCCCTCACCTTCCCTGTCGATGGCGCCCTCCTCCTCCTCCTCCTCCTCCTCCTCCTCCTCCTCCTCCTCTTCCTCGTCCGCGTCATCGTCCTCATCGTCGTCGTCGTCGTCGTCGTCGTCGTCGTCCGCCTCCTCCTC